TCGATTCGGCGGTCATCTTGTCGGCAGGGTGCGATATTAAGGTCCCGCACCAAAACGTTGGTTGCAACAGTAGCACCAGCTTCACGGCAGACACGGGTGGCAGCACGCTCGAGTGGGGCACCTCTGGAGCGGGGGCATGCAGCAAGGTGATCCCCTAACACGTCGTGGCGACGTCTGCAGCGACAGTACGCGGCAGTCAACGGCAAAGGGAGCCGGAGGCGCCGCAACAGCAACACTCGGAGGTGCGAAGGTTCCAGGGCAAGCTCAGGGGAGGTAGGCCTGGCCGTGAGGATTCGCGCAGCGAAGGGGCCTGCCTGCGAGTCAAGCAGAGCGGCAGCGGGGGGATCAAGCTCGCGAAGGATGGAGCAGTAACAGAACTCGTCGACGGGTCTGGATGCAGGACGCTGCCATCCACGTGTGGAGTCGAGCTGGGGTTCGTCGTCCTCAGCGCCAGGGTGCGGAGCCGGAGTCGCCCACAGGTCGGACCAGGGTGGAGGGGCAAACCCAGACGCCGTCAAGGAAGCACGAGCGAGCAGGAGCGACTGCAGGACTTCTGGCGCCGGCGAACCCCCCTCAAAAGTGTCGACGAAAACACGCGCAAAGGCAGGATCCCGAGAGGCTAAAACAGGCAGCACATCGGCCCAAGAAAACCAATAAGCATGTCGCTTCTGGCGCACGGCGGCAATGACAGCGCAGCCGGGCTGGACATCGGCACGGGGGTGGGCCTCGCCAAGCTGCATGAGGGGCGACACGATAGTGGCATGAGGGCGAGTCGGGACCCAAGACAGAGGGGGAGACCCGCTGATCACCTAAATAATCGAGCTGCCTTCGACAGCTGCATCTGTGCGGCGCGAGCGGGAGGGGAAGCCGCAAGCGGCGCAGCAGGAGAACACGGAACAGGGCACCGGGTATGATCACGTCATCCCGCGTGGCTGTGACGTCAAAAGCGCGGGTGGCCGAAGAACCCTATATACCCGTGATCAACCACATGGGTGCCCGTACCAGCAGCTTGGGACAGCAGCAGCGCTCGAGAAGCAGGTGTAAGGTCAAAAAAAGTCAGTAAGGTGCAAGCAGCGAGTCGCTGCCAGCCCTTGAACGGCCAACGTTCGCGGGGTACGGCGGGGCTGTCGGGACGGGGCGCGGGCCTGAACGACAGGGAGGGTGTCGCACCAAGACGCCCAGTGAGCTGCGTGGCGGTCGGAGCTGGCACAGCGCAGGCCTAAGATGGCCTAGGACGAACCGTTGCGCGAGTTAGGCTGCCCGTACTGTGCAGGGGGTCAGGGGGTCGTCGAGCTCCACCAAGTTAACGAGGCACTGCGCAGTGGCCGAGTCGCGGTCTGTTGCGTAGGTAGCTGTCAGGTGTGTGGGGGCACTATGCGCAGCAGGTAGGGCTGTGCAAGACTGGAGCAGCAGCCACGCGGCCTGCAGGTCGTCAACAGGAGGGATGCTCTGCAGTTATTGTCTCCTTGGGTATGCCGCCACAGCTCCTGCACTGCTTGCGTGTGAGGGGGGTGGACGGGCCGCCACGATGCGCAACTCCGCCAACTGTGTGCAGCACGGGCTTCCACTACCCGAAAGGCTATCGGGCGAGTCCACGGTCCGCGAGGTGGTGGCGGACCGCGCTCCCGCCCAACACCTCAGTGCACCTCGGCTGGGTCGTGCGCAACTTGCTCCAACCTGATGGCTACATCACGGCAGCCTGCCAGGAAGCATGCCTCCAACTATTCGGCGGCCTGGAGCTACCCACCCAGCTCAACCGTTTCTCCGATGCCTTCCGTACGGTAGAAGCGTTGCCAGCTGAGGACGCTGTCGAGGAGCGCATTTCGGCTGATGCCGCCCTCGCTAGTGCTGCTTCCGCGGCCCGAAGCCAGGAACAACCCAGACAGCGCCGGGGCTCCAGCCACGGTGAGGCCACTGCCCTGCCCCCAGCCCGCACTGTGAGGAGGGGCCTCCACCTGCACCAAGGGTGGCCGTTCGGGGCCAGGGTCGCGCCAGAGGCCGTGGGCGCCGTGGGCGAGCAAGTGTGGCCCCTCAAGCAGCAGCGGAGGCCCACACACAAGCTCCTTGCGAAGCACACGAGTCTCACGTGGGACCCGCAGCTCCCACGCAAGGGCAGCAACGGGCACGCTGCGGTTCGCTCTCCGCACCGGCTTGAGCACGGCGCTCGACTCAAGGGAGCCCGCTGTAGCTGCCTGCGGCTGGAAGCTTTTCTTTCTCGCGCCCGGGATGCTGCTGCACCGCGCCGCAGGACAAAAAACTCCGTTCCGGCGAGCGAGCTGGAGAAGCGATGCGCCTACTTCCGCCAGGAAGAGTGGCTGCAGCTGCTCCGTGAGGCGACGGCAAGGGACGCCCGCCAGAGCATGTCCGGAACGCCCGAGCTGTCCGTTTGGCCCAACTTGGGCAACTCTCGGCTGCAGCCCGCGCCCTCACTGCCGCGCCGCAGGCGCCGGGCAACGCCGACACCCTTGCTGAGCTCCGGGACCCCGACCGTCGACCGCCGGCACCGCAGGTACCCTTGTCTGCGGCGGTGCTCTCCCATCAGCCGTGTTGTTTGGGTGCCTGCAAAAAGCACGCCGCGGGTCAGCTGCTGGCCCTTCTGGAACCACCACCCCTGCTTCGCGTTTGGCAACAGCCATAAGATGCATGAAACATCGTTGCGACTTCCATGTCGACCTTCTGCTTTCGAATTCTGGTTAATTCTGGCAACTTACAACACCTGTATTGATGATACCTTATACAGGCGCACCAAGACCCAGCGTCCCTGCGGTCCGTGACGACGCAGAAGCGAGAGCGCAGAAGCGAGCGCAGACTGGGCCCCGGTGGCATCGGCGCGAGACGAGGCGAGACATGGCGAGACCCAATCAACTGCGCTCCGCTCCGCTTTTCGCTTTTGGCACTCGCAGCGGGTCCACCGGGGGCACGGGAACGGACGAGTCGTTTGCCTTGGGTTCTGCAGGCAGCCCAGCCAAAATGCAGTCAGCTGGGAAACGGTGGCATCAATCGCCATCCTGCGAGCCATGCCACAGGGAAGTTTCGATGCGGCCATCAGCCGTTTCATCGATGGTCACGTCGGCTAGCGAACATTGCGGGATGCCCGCGCGCCGAGCGGCACAGGCGCGCAACGTGCAGGCCCGCACACACAGCAGCAGCGCTCGAGATGCGGCATTATACGTCGTTTCTCCGAAGCGCAATTCTCCGAAGCGCAATAAAAAGGCTTTCCTGTTCTCCAAAAATCCTGCAACAATGTCGAGCGTTAACAGAGCGGCCGCAACTGATGCGAAGGTGTTGTCTCCGTTGGCGGCCAGCCATTCAATTTTTGTCCGCGGTGGCTTACGTAGATTTTACGTAGGCTTCCTGTGCAAATGGGAATCCGGAGCACCAACGGGCACATCTGTGGTCAATGCCACTCCGATTTTCACATCAACTTGGGCAGCTCGGGTGCAGCGATAGGACACCCAACATACCTGTTGTGCTGCGCAAAGCAAGGCAAGCTTTGCCAGGCATGAGGACGCAACGGATTGTGCTCGCGTGAATCTTGTACCGTGGGCAAGCGATGGCAAGCGTATCCAGCAAGAGATAGGCAAGTTGCTTCCGTTCAGGAAAGAAGTTGGTCGAGTTATCAATGCTGGTCGGAAATTATGAAAAGCCCCTTTTAAAGACAGGGCTGGCCCTGGAAATGTGAACTGCCTACTGCTTGAACACAACGCCACCTGTCCAGAGCTCGGCGAATGAAGAGTTGCGCTTCGCCCTTCGTGCAGTGTTGATGCATCGATGTGCTCTGCAGTATCTGTCACTTCAAATTCAAGCATCGCTGCCGTTGCTGTCGCCTGCTGTACCTGCAGCGCCTGGGAGGCTTCCAGTGCTCGCGGCACCCGCAGCGCTAAGTGTTTGTAACTCTCTTGCTGTGCTGACACAGGCTCCTCAGGCGCCTTTGCTTTGAGCAACCTGGGTCGATCGCGTTCAGACACCGCATGCGCCAGCAGCGATCGCTTCAGCTTGCCGAATGCATTCCGCAAACTTTGTCTCCTGCAAGCACAGGGCTGTTCCAAGAACCCGAGAAGGAACAGCCCTGCGGCTACCCGGCAGCTTTCGGACCCTTGCATACTCTTACATCATCTTACATCCCACTTCGGAGCCTCGCATGCGGAAACGCTCCCCACACAAGAGAATCAAAAGAGACTCCTTTTGCCAAACAAGCCACTCCGCCGCCCAGGCTGCAGGAAATCGGTCGTGCAAGCGCAAAGCAAGCGCAGTTGCTCCCATCCCCTTCTTGACTGTCCGTGCAACGGCCTGCCGTCTGCATGTAAACAGCCGCCGATTGCAAATGACCGTCGCAGCGGCCCAATGCAAAACGTCGTGTATATATGGCACGATTTCATCTCGTGGCCACGATGGCGACCCCGCGTCCACAAAGGAAGTGCTCCACAACTCATGCCCCTGGGCCAGAAGCAAGAGATCACTGTCCTTGCATTCCAGCCCCTCACCGAGCAACCGCACAGGATGACAATAAGATGTGATGTCTGCAAGGCGCTCAATCGATCGCAGCAAGTAAAGCACGTAGTTCCAAGCGTGACTTTGGCCGGCGCCATCTGGAAAGCTCGACATGAGGTTGGACTTCGGTAAACCTAGCTACCACCAGCGAAGGACGCTGCGGTCGAGCCTTGGTTTCTGCTGGATCATGTTTGTAGCCTAAGGTCTTAGCTGCTGCGAACGTCTGGCGCAGTGGTGTTGTTCTAAGCATTCATGCTATTTCATGCTGGTCTGGTATGTGGAACTTGCATCCCTGCCATTGCAGCAATTCGGATGGTACGGCCAATGCAGACATGCAAGCTAGGACTGGCCGCAAGTCATGGTAGTCAGAGAAGAACAACAGCAAGCACCAGGGAACAATTGCAAAGCTCATCTAGGTTCATCCGGTGTTCTGCAGACGCAAGACTAGCTGACTCCGTCGCTGCTGATTCTCGCATCCGCGAACCCCCTCGACTGTACACCCTGCTCTTCTGTCACTCTGGCTCTCTTCACTCACGCACGTACTCACCCCACCCTCTGGCTCGCTAAAGACATGTCTTGCCATGGACACCCGGAACAAGATGGAGCAGAACTGACACAAAGTTGAGTTGATGCAGCGACGACCACCACGAAAGATTGGCAGCATGAGTGACTCGCAGCTTTCCAAAAAATCAGAGCTGCAGCCTTTCCATCGGGCTGTCGTTTTCTAGACTCGAGGCCTTGGAGAAGTGCCTTGACCTTTACTCACGTTTTTCAAAGGTCATCATGCAATTGGAAGAATGACGCTTCCGATTGCCGAATACTGGTGACGACCTGTCCTCCGCCATCTGTTGCAGCGTTATCACCGTTCCCATTCACTTGGCTAGGCCTATTCGAGCAACACCCTGGAAGATTGGCCAGAGAATGGAGGCTTTTCATGATTTCACTCTGATGCTGCACCGTTGCCCGCATCTTTGGGGGGCCATCGGCGTGCACGGCTCAGTGCGCGTGAGACCACGGGAAGGAAGATCTGGCCATGCACGGGCATGCGCATCTACACAGAACTGCGAGCATTTGATGACCTCCTTGGGCATGACTGTGGCCTCGACAGCTGTGCTCTCCGCATCTCCAACTAAAGCACACATGAGCAAGAAGTGCAGAACTCGATCGAAGAGCCTCGCATGGGATTGCCATGGGGCCTGCGATGCGATGTGAAGGCAAAAACTCCCATCATACAGAGTGCACATACGCACAAATCCTGGTGCTCCGACTTATCTGAGCCCAAAGCCGATCTTACTTACATGAATTGAGAGCTGATGTTGCCGGGTTCATACTTGTGGCTTTCGCGCGCGGATGCCAAGACTGTATTCCCGCACAATGGAAGTCCGTTCTGCCCGCGCCCTTTATGTGTGCGGTGTGAGAGAGAGGGGCAGCGTGAATCTGCCAAGCCATGCCCTTTCAACGCAGGATTGGAGGCATCAGAAGATGGGCGGAGAAGCTGTCATGCAGGAATGCGCGCAGTTCCTGCTGAGTCAAAAAAAACGGCGCATTGGAATCGCTGAATGCTGGGACCCGAGATCGAGATGAGACTTTTGGGAACATCTCCACATGCACAAAATTTCACAAGACATGCAAATGCAACGTCCTTCGTGAACTAGAAGGCCTAACTCGTGCCAATAAGAAACGACCGCCCTGTCGAACAAACATAACACAGCTTTTGCAAAGAAAGGCCGAAGTGATTCTGCTGCCCTCAAAAAAATAATTGAGCAGCCCTTAAAGAGGCAGACTGCCGCTGGGTTTCATCAGGATCACACTGCAAGCACGAACGTTCGCGAAGCTCACTGATCTGCTCTGGACTCATGAGAGCGCACAACAAGCTGGTTTTGCGCTCAGGCATGGGGT